TAAGTGGGGTCTTAAAGGAGATGGAGAAAGAAAATGAAAAGTTATTACAACAAAATTCATTACTAAAAAGGGCGGTTAGTGCTTTTTTAATAACTCAGACTGCTCGACATTCTAATCTTGCTTTAAAAGAGGCTCAGCAAAAGATTGAAGAATTGCAAGATAAATTAAGCGACAAGGAACAAAAATTAGATGAAAATGTTAAAAATCTTCATCAAGTTAATGAAGATTGACAAAAAAAAGCCCAGCCCATTGCTGAAATGTTGCAAAGAACTCAAACAAAGTTAATGGATCTGGTTGCTGGGCAAGAAGAAAAGAAAGAGGCGCAACAGAGTTCAAAAGAGGAATTAGAAGTTAGTGAAATAGATGAAAAAACAATGGGTGGAATAATCGAAAACATTCAAGAACTCGGAAATAGAATAGAGGAATCTGTAATAAGTAGAGACGAGCACCATAATAAAATATTAAATCATCACCGAGAGAAAATAGAGGAATTGAATGATGAAAAGGAAGAATTAAAAAAAAACTTTGATAAATTGCGTGCTGAGCGTGAAAAGATTGATCAGGAATTAGCAGAATTAAGGAGAGAGGCGAAGGAAAATAAAAATCGTGAGGTTGAAAGTATTAATACTTTATTAGTTGCTCGCAGAGAAATAGGCTCTTTAACTAAAAACTTAGAAGAAGCGAACAGCAACAAAACTGAACTAGAACAAAATTTAGAAAAAAAAACTGAAGATTTTGCCGCTCAAGTTTCTAGTTTAAACGAAGTAAGCGAAGAACAAAAAAATAAACTGATTCAAAAGATCAATCTAATAAATGATGAAAAGGGAAATCGAAGCCAAGAATTTGAAAAAGAACTAAAAAGTACGATAGATGACTTGAAAAAAACTACCGACGATGAGAAGAAAGGGTTACAAAATTCCTTAAATGCCCTGCAAGAAGAATTAGAAGCAAAAAATGCGATTGTAGCCTCTCGTGAAAATTTAATAGATGAAATTAATTTAAAAACAAATAAGTTAAAAGAGATTATTGAAACTTCAGACTTTAACTCTAATAAAGAAAAACAAAAAGTTGTCAATGTATTGAACATTGTCAGGCAAGAATTGGATGAAAGAGATATTTTAATTAAAGATTTAGAAATGAAGAAGAATATTTTGGATGAAAATGTATTGTCTTTAAGTGAAGAGATTAATCTTTCCTGACAGATAAATGAAAGCGAAAAAGAAGACCTTCGGCAAGAGTTAGAACTTTTAAAAGATGCTAAGTTAACTAGCGAGGAGGAACTAGAAAAAAAAATAACTAGGTTAACAAATTTAATCGAGACTTTACCAACCGAATTAGAGAAGGAAACTTTAGAGCAAACATTAGTTTTTTTACAAAATCAGTTAACTGAAGGTATTAAAGAGAGAAATGAAGAAGAAACCTCAACAAAAGAACTAAATCAAAGCGTTAAAAATTTACAAGAAGAAATAAATTTTTCGAAAACCGCTTCTCAACAGGAGAGAGATAATTTATTAAATCAATTAAATGATTTACAATCTTTACAGGAGTCACAAAAAAATAGGGAAGGAGAATTTACTCAACAAATAAATGTTTTGAAAGGGCAAATAGAAGGATTGTCTAGTATCGGCGAAGAGAAAACAAGCCTGCAGACTAAAATCATTGATTTAGAGCAAAAATTAGTTAACGTAATAGAAAACAAAAATAATTATAAAGGTAACGTTGCAAAGTTAGAAGAAAACTTAAGGCAAAAAAGCAATGAACTAAGTGATTATTTTAATTCCTTGCAAAATGTTGGAGCAGAAAACAAGTCTCTTTTAGAAGCAATAGGTGAATTGAGAGAGTCTAAATTAAATTCTGAAGAATTAAGTCAAGAATTAACTAGTAAATTTCAAGCACAAATAAATGATTTGCAAATTTCAAATAGTGAGAAAGGAAAATTAAACGAACAAGTCCGTGGTCTAGAAATTAGACTTTCAGAGAAACTTCAAACTGAGCAGAATTATAAAAATAGGATAAAGATTTTGGAAAGTAATTTAGCTATTTCCACTAAGAATTTAGGTAAAAAGCTAAATGTTGCTTCCCGGAGAAAAGTCAGGAAAGACGTTCAAGTAATTAAATTGGTAGAAAAAATCAAATCTAAAGAGCGTGATTTAAAAGGTTTGCATAATAAGTTAGCAAGTTTTCAAACTAAGTTGGATACTGCTAATACTAAGATCGAAGACCAAAAGCAAAGAATTAAAAAAAAAACTGAAAAATTAACTGTTTTAACAAAAGAATTGAGTTCTAAGGATGAGATCATAGATAATTTACAAACAGAAATTACCAGATTAAAGGAACCTCCTACTTTTATGACTAACGGATTTTTAAATGATTTAGGAGGGAATATTCAAGAGAGAAAGAGTTCTAGTCTTATTTATTCTCAAGAAGATTTAGAAAATTTAATTAAAGAGGAACAATTAAAGATTCAAAAATTAACCGGTTTACTTTCTGAAAAAAACAAAGAACCACAACAAGTTGAATTCAAGGAAGTGCTTCAAAATGTACCAAAAAAGAATAGAGATGACCTTAACTTATGATTGTTAGGTTATAGTTTAGAAACAATTATTTTATGTCTTGGTTTGTTAAAGAAATTAAAACAAAACAAAAAAAAATAACACAAAAATCTTTTTTTGTTGCTCTGCTAGATAGGTTGAGATTATGCCTTTAAGTTAATAAAATTCTTGAAAAAATAACAATATGAAAATTTTGGTAATTGGAGATATATTTGGCAAAACCGGTCGCAAAGTTATTCAGGAATATCTTCCTAAATTAAGGGCAGAAAATGAGATTGATTTAGTTATTGCAAATGTAGAAAATACTACTCATGGCAAAGGAATTGCACGCAAACACTATCAAGAATTAAAAAGTTCCGGAATTGAAATAATGACCTCAGGCAATCATATTTTTGCGGTTGAAGAAACTCGAAAATATATCAGCGAAGTTCCTGATTTATTAAGGCCTCTCAACTCTAATCCCTATCATCCTGGTCCAGGAACCTTTTTAACAAACTTTAAAGGGAAAAAAATTCGCATCACTAATTTATTAGGAACGAGTTTTATGCCGATGGCAACTGAAAATCCTTATTTTGCTTTGGAAAAAGTATTAAATTTGCAGAATTGCGATATTCACTTAATTGATTTTCATGCCGAAACTACAGCAGAAAAAATTGCTTTCGCTTTATACTTTGACGGAAAAATTAGTGCTTTATGAGGAACGCACACTCACGTGCAAACAGCCGATGAAAGAATTTTACCTAAAGGAACTGGATTTATTACTGACTTAGGAATGACCGGACCTTATGGCGGAGTTATTGGCGCCAAACCTGAAGTAATCTTTCAACGTGCTAAATATGGCTTACCAGCTAAGATGATCCCGTTTGATGATAACGGTCAGTTCAACGGAGCCATTTTTGAATTTGATGACGAAAGCAATAAACTAATGAGTATTGAGAGAATCAAAAAGATTTTTTAAATTAAAGAGGATATTTCGGCAAAAAATAAATTAGTGAAATAAATATGGTAATTAACACTATATAAATATTACGAATAAAACTAGTTAATTTGGTAAAGTGAGTAGCTTTGTAAATATTTTCTTTTCTTTCTCGAGTCGGAGAAAAATTATCTTCTTCCCCAAAGAAAAAAGAACAAACTATAATTGCTATTCCCAAAATTCACAAAATAATTTTTAATATTAACATAATACTTATTAAAATTATTTTAGGAAAAAATATCAAAAAAAGATGAGATAAATTATGTTTTTTGACTTATGGAATTGATGCATCACTTTCTCCTTGTTACTATTCTATTGGAAGTGAAAAATAATTTATCATGCTTAAAGGAAAATTATTAAGGTTACTTTTCTGAAAGTTTAAGTGAAAAATACTCTTTCTTTTTTTTCTAACTTTTCTAATTAATTACATACTTTTTCTTATTCGCTTTAATTTAGTTAATAATTTGCCTCTCGATAGAAGTAGGGGCTATTTTTTTTACCTTTTTGGTAAATATCGTCTTATCGAAAAAATATTAGATAATAAGATTTATGTCAATTGAAGTAAGTTGTTACTAATTCTTTTTTTGCTCTATTTTCCTCTGAAAATAATTATTCATCTAGCCCTAAATTATTGAAAAAAAAATTACCAAAAGGAAGTCGAAATATTTTTGACTAAAAAACTACTGATTTATGCTAATAAAAACAAATATTTAATAGCAGAAAAAATTAGTGAAAAAGTGAAAATCGTTAATGAAATTGTGCCTGAGTTTTCCCGTCAATTTATCAGTGTTCCTGTCGAAGCATTCGAAATATTTACTGATATTTTTTTTATAATATTTAATCTCCACCATCTGATAAGTTCTTATCGTCTATCAAACCTGATTCCTTTATTCGTTATTTTTATTTTAATTAACCTAGTTTGATTTACTCTTTTTAATTATCTTTTTTCTCAATCAAACGAAAACAATATAGTTAAAAAAAATAACTATCAAAATTGAGAAAAATCCCAAATAAAAATTTGGTTAGAGAACCCAATATCTAAGAATAATCCTTCACGAAATCTGAAAAAAATAATCAAATTATTGGACAGCAACTACCAAAAAATAACTATCATTAATTTTTTATCCACCCTCTATCAACTACCTGTTTTAATGATTTCGGGAACTACCATCTTATTTTTATTTCTTTATTACCAATTCTATTGCGGAGTTAAAGGAGGATTGGAGTGAAATATTTATTTTATCGCTATTAATCTCCAAGGAGTTGTTTGAAAAATAAACGAAGGATTTAATTTTTTATCTGCTTTCTTTTCGTTAAAAGAAAACTATCAAAAAATTGAAGATTTTTTTAGATACTAAAACATAGTTAAAAAAACAAGTTAAAATTTCAATTTTCTTTTTATTCCATAATTTAATGACAACTATAATAGTTTTGGTCAAGTCCATTTAATGGTAAAAATAAATTAATAAAGAGGAAGTGTGTCCGAGTGGACGAAGGAGCTGGCTTGGAAAGCTAGTAATATCTAATCAATATTCGGAGGTTCGAATCCTCTCACTTCCGCCAAAAAAAACATCTTTATTTTTTGAAAGAGAAATTCTCGCAAAATCTCTTTACATAAAAAAAATATTAATAATGCCAGAGCTTTCTAATCTCATCAATAATCCGTCACTAGAAATAAGCAAAGTAGTGTTTAAAGAGGAAATCTCACCTTTTAATTCTAAACTAAAAATGGATGGTTTAATTTTGCTAAAATCACTCGAAAATTGTTCAGTAAATGTTGTTTTTTTCGACCCTCAATACCGCGGTATTTTAGACAAAATGAACTATGGCAATGAAGGAGAAAGGCAAATAGGGAGAAGTAAATTGCCCCAAATGGACGAAAAGTTAATAGTTTCTTTTATCAGACAAATCAATCGAGTTTTGACTAAAAGTGGTCATCTTTTTCTCTGAGTAGACAAATTTCATCTGTGTGAAGGTATAGCATTGTGACTGAAAAGGACTGATTTGGCTATTGTGGATATGGTAGTTTGAAATAAAAGCAGAATTGGAATGGGTTATCGTACTCGTCGGTCTAGCGAATACCTACTAATTTTACAGAAAACACCTATCAAGTGTAAAGGAATCTGACAAATTAAAAATATTCCGGATGTTTGAACGGAAAAGATGGATAACAAAACAAAAAAACATCCCCACCAAAAGCCGCTTCAACTCCAAAAAATTTTAATTGAAGCCGTTACTAATCCTTCTGACTTAGTTGTTGACCCCGCTGCGGGAAGTTATTCAGTATTGGAAGCTTGTTTATTAGCCAATAGGAAATTTTTAGGCTGTGATATTGAAGAACAAATTTAAAACCTATCATGAAAATAGAAAGCACTAAGCCAGGCAGGAAGGACGGCGGTTATACTAGGTTATTAGGTAATGAAAAGTTAGGAGCATTAATAAGCCGAGTTCACTCTGCTTCCATCTCCTCTGGAAATGAATTGGAAAATATTATCTTAAAAAAAAGCGACTTATTTCTAGTCCAAACAGTAACAGAGATGGAAAAATTACTTTCTAATGGTGAAAAATTTGACAAAAAAACTTACCTAATTCCCAAAAAAATAGTCAAAATGTCTCCTAAATTTAGGAGCGAACATGAACCAGATTATTTGATATTAAAAAAAGAGACTAAAACTCTTTACATAACTGAATTAAAGGATGGAGATAGTTTTGATACTAAAAAATCAGCCGGCGAAGCAGAATCTTTACGCCGATTTAAAAACCATATTTCTGAAAATGTTCCTTATAAAACTTTAATCTTGGTTTGTTGCTTTAACCAAGCCAACAAAGAAAAAATTGTTCAAGGATTTAAAAACAAAATTAAACCAGAAGAAGCATTTAATGGTAAAGAATTTTGTGAACTAATTGGCATAGACTATCAAGCAATTATCAAAGAAAGGAGCGAACAGGACCAAAGGGAAAACCTAAACTTTTTTTGCGATGAATTATTGAAAATTGTTGAGTGTAGGAAAATTATCTTGGAAATTCTCCAAAGAAAATAATATGCTTTATTCCTCAGAAGAAAAAAGAAAAATTATCCTAGAAAATTATAGCAAGCCCAACAAACAAGTGAGTTTTGAGGAGTTAAAAAAAATCAGCACTAATTGAAAAATACCTTTTTTAACTGTTCGAAGTTTGGATAAAGGCTGCGGCGATGTTCTTCATTTGTTAATAATCAAGCAGGAAAATTACCTAAAAAAATGTTTATTTTCAGGTCAACAATCTTGTTTAATTACAATAGTTGCTGTTAATATTCTCTTTACTTATTTAGAGGAAAAAGATTTACAATCTGCCCAAGGTCTAATAGATAATTGCCAAAAAATGATAGAAAAAAAGGACTATAATTTAGACAATTGTCCTGATTTTCAAGTATTTAGTGATATATTCCAATTTCCTCATCGAATAGAATGTGTAAAATTAGTAATGAGGGGGATAAAAATGCTCTTATAATACAATATTATGCCAAACGAAAAAATTTGTTCAAATTGCAGAGAAAATTTTCTTGATTTAATTGAAGAAGATGTTTGTGAAACTTGTGCTAGAAATACTCTTTTTTTTGACTGTGATTATTGTGGTAAGAAGTTTTTTTTAAATAAACCAGAATATTCCGATTTAACTTATGCAGAAGTTTGCAGAAAAGCTCAACAATTAGCTTTCCAACACGAACTTTTCGAACACGAAAAAGAGTGTAAATTTTGTAACAAAAAGATAATTAATGAAGAAATTTTTTGAAGATGAAGAGATGGTGATAGAAATTTCAGGGAATATTTTTGCGAAGTTTGTTGAGATAATTTAATTGAGGCAGAAGCGCAAAGACAAAGGAGAGAATTGGAAAATAATAGCGAAGATAATAATAATTCCGAGCAGCAAAGTGTTCCTAACCAAGCTAAATTTAATAATGAAAAATCAACTAACAGAAAATCCCAAACACATAAACAGAGAGAGAGAGAGAGCAAACACCACCACCATATTCTCCCAATGACCCCAATTCCAATCTTCCTCCTGTAAATAATCAAGAAGAAATCAAAAAATATGGTTCTGAATTCCCTACTTTAAAAACTCAACAGCAAGCAGGTAGACAAACCACTTATAATAATTGAGAAACCAAAAGAAAGCAAAACTATGGTCGACAAAAAGTTTGTCGTTATTGTCCCCAAACTTTTGATTACGATAAATCCTTAGAATATTTACCCTCTAAAACCAAAGTAGAAAGCGAATGGTCTACTCATGAAAATAGTTGCTCGAAAAAGAATGACCAAACTGAACAACAAAGATTAAAACAAGCCCAATGAGAAAAAGATAGAAAAAAGAAAGGTAGTCCTTTTTATACCTGTGATAAAGGTTGTTGGGGCAAGATTTGTTTAGATAAAAAGATTAGTGATTGAAATCAAGCTAAAAAAACAGCTTGAGCTGATTTAGCTTATCACCAAAAGCACGAATGTGGTAATAATTTGTCTAATCCTAAAATTCCTATTTGTTTTTCTCCTAATCAAGGAGGACATCACCATGCTGATTTAACTAATGCTAATGACATTAATGAAAACGATTTAGTCATGGAACAAGATAATGAAACTGAGGTAAGTTATCAAGAACAAATAAATAGTGAAGCTCCTAAAAGTAATAAATTTCTTTATTGAGGATTAGGAATAGTAGGAGTATTAGTAATTGCAATCATATCTACTCACCTAGTAATAAAAAAAAAGAAAAGTAATTAAATTAAAGATTAAAGAAGATAGCGAGAATTTACTATATTTTTAGGAAATCGCTTTTTAATTTGACTAATTTCCTAATTTTTGAAATTCGTTCCAATTATTCTAAATTTTTCTTACTTGTCTAGGTTTTTTTGTTAATAATTGCATTTTAATTACTTTTCTTTTCATAAAAAAATAATCAATATATGTCGAAATCCTTTTACATCACTACTCCTATCTTTTATCCCAATGATAAATTGCATTTAGGTCATGCTTACACTACAACAATAGCCGATATTATTGCTCGCTATAAAAAAAGTCAAGGTTATCAAGTTTACTTTCAAATTGGTAGTGACGAGCATGGCGAAAAGATTGAAAAAAAAGCCAAATCTCTGGAAATTACTCCGCAACAATTAGTAGACAAAAATGTGAAATTATTTAAAGAGTTATGACAAAAATTAGAAATTGATTATGACTTTTTTTGCCGCACTAGTTCTAAACTTCACAAAGAAAAAGTTCAAAAAATTTTTCAACAATTATTAGAAAAAGGTGATATTTATTTAGACAAATATCGTGGTAATTATTGTGTTTCTTGCGAAGATTATGTCAAAGAAAAAAATTGTCCTATTTGCCATTCAACAACCAGAATATTAGAAGATTCTGCTTATTTTTTAAGAATTTCTTCCTATTACCAAAGGTTGTTAAGTTATTATCAGCAAAATCCAGACTTGCTAATTCCTAATTCAGCTAAAAAAGAACTTTTTGCTAATTTTCTTCAAGAAGATAAGATTCAAGACTTATGTATCACTCGCAATGACGTTAAATGAGGGATTTCAGTTCCTAACAATCCTGAAACTGTTATCTATGTTTGATTTGAAGCGCTCTGCAATTACTTAAGTTCCGAAAAAGGAGAAGAAATGTTTGCTGATAAAAATAGTGAAATTATTCATCTAATAGGCAAGGACATTGTTAGATTTCATTCTCTTTATTGACCAGTTATTCTTTTTGCTCTTGATAATCGCATTCCTAGCAAAGTTATTGCTCACGGCCTTTTGCTAGACCCTCGGGGAGAAAAAGCCAGCAAAAGTAAAGGTAATGTCATTGACCCCTTAGAATTGTTAAAAAATTATCCCCAAGATTTGTTAAGAGTTTATTTTGTAGCCAAAGTTAATTTTTTGCAAGATGGTATTTGCTCTGAACAATTATTAAAAAGCTTTTACCAAGATTTTTTTGTTAATAATTTAGGAAATTTAGTTTCTCGAATTAATAAAATGATTCATCTATACAGCAAGGGAGTAGTACCAAAAATAAAATTAACTAAGCTTTCAAAAGGCTTAGTAGAGAAGGAAGAAAAAATTAAGAAATTAGATAAATATAAAAAGAAATGTGAATTAGCGGTAAGAGAATTTCAAGCGAGAATGAATGAATATGAGCTTACAAAGGCTTTTTTTCAAATTCAAAACCTTTTGAATGAGAGTAATAAATTGATTAGCGAACTAGCTCCTTGAGAACTTTACAAAAAGGAAGAGTTTGTTGTTTTAAATTATACTCTAAATTATTTATCAAATGGACTAAAAATTATTTCCTTTTTACTTAACTCTATTGTGCCAAAAACAAGCAAAAATATTTTAGAAACCTTTAATATTAATGATAAAATAATTAATTGGGATAATTGTCTAAATTTTGAATTTTTAAATGGATTTGAAATAAAAATATTAAAAAAACATTTGTTTAATTAACAAAAGGGTTAAAAGAAAAAAAACATTAGTTTTTTTAACAGTGAAATTTTAAGTGATATCAGCGACAAAGAAGATTTAGAACTTATGAGAA